GAGAGTTGGGGGCCAGAGGTAATGGGAACAGAATTTTGCAGTGATGTTTCCACCTCTACTTTAGGCCCCTGGTCTTGTCCAGGTTATGGTAGAGGTCAAAGAAGCCTGTGTAGAAATACTTCACAGTCACAGCCTGAGAGAAATCCCATGGCCAGAGTCTCCACCTCTATCTCTGTTCTCTACTAGAAGCCAGAAGCAAGACCATCCCTAGTTATGACAACCAAAACCTGTCACATAGGTTAGAAAACAAAAATTTAACAGAATGATACAAAATGAAGCCCATCTCCCTCCACAACTACCTCCAAAGAGAAAAAACTGCAGGTAGTCCTAGATACGTAAACATTTAAAGGCATCATGTTACATATATTAAGAACCAACAAATGTTTTTTATCATGGTTGGAGACTCTGAACTGTGTCCTAACTGACACGCTCAGAGGCAGTCACAGGCAATGCATAGGTTGGTTATGCAATTATGAAAAACAATGCATGAGATGGGGACGTGCTCTGTATATGTGTGTGGTCAGAGGACTTTATGGATTTGGTTCTTTCCTTCTACCTTTATAAAAGGATTGAACTCAAGGTGTCATCTTGTATTGTTGGGCCATCTTACCTAGACCATCACTTTTAAATTTGGTGGGGGTTTTTTTGAGACACGGTTTCTCTGTGTAGCTCTGACAGTCCTGGAAATTGCTCTGTAGAGCATGCTGGCCTTGAACTTGGAGATCCGCCTGCCTCTGCCGTCCAAATGCTGGGATTAAAGGTGTGTGCCACCACCTCCCAGCTAAATATTTTATTTTAAAATTTTTAATTGTTGGGGCTTGAGAGATGGCTCAACAGTTAAGAGCACTAGCTGCTCTTCTAGAGGTCCTGAATTCAATTCCCAGCAACTACATGGTGGCTCACAGACATTTATACTGGGATCTGATGCCCTCTCCTGGTGTGCAGGCATACATGCAGATAGAGCACTCATACATAAATAAATACAACTTTTTAAAAAGCTTTAATTGTTAACTCTGTGTGTGTGTGTGTGCTTGTGTGGGCGTGGGCGCGCACACGCTCATGCAGATTCACAGAGGCCTGATCTGATCCCCAGAAGCTGAAGTTACAAGCAGCTGTGAGTCACCCAACATGGAAGCAAACTCAGGTCCTCTGGAAGAACAGTGTGCACTCTTAACCAATGAACCATTGTTTGTCCCAAAGATATGAGGAGAAAGACCATTGACCCAAATCATCACAGCCAAATTAGTTAAAGCAAGCTTCTTTATTCATGTACATGGGCTGCCTCCCCCTAAGGCAGGGTTTGAGGTGTCAGCATTAGATGTGAGGAAGACAACCTTTTGATAGCTCAGGAGTAGGGGACTTCCAATGTGGGATTTAATGGGCAAAATAGGCGGGATTACAGGAGCAGACCATCGTAATAGTCCTAATGACCTCCTGAAACAAAGATAGGGTTGCAAGGTGGCCTTAACAAAAGTTAGTCATAATAAGGTTGCTATAAGAACCCTTTTGAAACAAAGGTAGGGTTGCAAGATAACTGGTTATTAACTTTTTGAAACAAAGGCACAATTTCTGTTCCTGGAACAGGCAGTATATAGAACCACTTATGGTTAAAGGTGGGGCATAGCCCAATCCTATTTTCCTCCTCCTATCGCTGGGATCATTTCACTGTTCTAATCCACTTCAGTAACCCACTGAGAGTCTGCACCATGAGTATGCCATAACTCTGTGCTCAGGGTTTGTTTTCAGTTGTTTTGAAATCACCAACAATGCTATAATGAGCATCCTTGAACTTCTGCAACCATAGAATGTAATTGTAGAAACGAAACAAAGGCTACGAGCATTTAAAATGTTTCTGCATATTGACAAACTAGCTGGAAAGGCAGAATCTACTTCATAAGGTTACTTCCCATCTTCGGCCCTGGGTGTCCTGATGGGAATGCTAGAAACTTACCTTTCCATAAACCCAAGGACTACCAACTCCCTCCCTCTGGCTCTCAATCCTGATGCCACCTGCACAGAAAAGTAACTCTGCTGTCTGTTTCCTCTTCCCGGATCAGGTCAGACTTGCCCACCAAGGTGCAAACATAGAGCTGACAACCTGAATGAAAATGGTGCCCACATACATAACAACTATGGAGCTGCAAAACATTCTCCTAGATGGCCTTTGGGTCCTAGTCCCTTTTGTCTTCACATCTAGAATCTTCTAATACCAGAGCCAAAAAGACCCTCAGGATAAATTACCTGCAAGCCTGCCTTCTCGTCACTGCATGGATAAAATGACTAAGGCTAAGAAAGGAGACAAAAACAGAAGTAAACCGGCTCAAAGTCCCAGTGCCAGGAACTTCTATGCTTCTTTCCTCTTTTTTTTTTTCCTTTTGAGACAGGGCCTCACACAGGCCTCAAACTGGGTATGTGGCTGAGGATGGCCTTGAACTTCTGACCTTTGTGCCTCTGCGCTGGGATTACAGGCCTGTACCACTACTCTTGGTTTTATATGGTGTTGGAGACCACAAGTCCAGGACTCTGAGCATGCTAGGCAAGTAGTCACCTGAGCTACATTTCTAGTCTTTTTTTTTTTTTTTTTTGAGGCAGGGTCTGAGTTGACCCTCAGTTCTTTTCCCTCCTGCCTCCACCTCCCAAGCGCAACAGGTGTGTGCTCCCAGGTCTGGCTCAGAGCCTCTTTCCTCCTACCCCTTACTGTTTTACTCTTCAGCCTCACAAAGGTGCCTGGGCTTTGCTGGTGACTTCTCTCAACTGTTTATGTGGAAGACCAGCAGCTACGTCCACCACTTATGCCTGCTTACTCCACTTGGCCAAGGCCCTCACATCCCTCTGACCAGCTGTGGGATGACAGCACAGCCTCCAGGCCAGCGGCTCTCCAGGACACCTGCACATGCTGGCACACCAGGTGTGTACGCAGAATGGCCTGGCTACCTGCAACCCACACAGATGCCTGCTGACTAGTCACAAGCTGATTGTCCTCCAGAGAACCGGGAAAACCTTGTTCACATGAATGATCAACCCAGCAAAGAGCTGAGGGCGATTGCTCCAAGTGACCTAGACTCCACTATACAGGGGCACTGGGAAGCTCAGTACCCCCAGGGAAGAAACTGGAGGGAAGAGCAAGCGCTGGGAAGGCGGGGAGTGGCCACCACATACACTAGGGTCCACCCGATTACCATGGGCAAAGCTAGGTTTAGCCAGCTGCCAGCCTTCAGGATGAGAACGTGGGGAACTTCACGTACAAAAAAGGGGCTGTAGTTCCAGGGGCTTTTCCCATGTTGGAGTCTCAACAACGTCAGTAACTCAAGCCATTTGGTGGCCCAAAGGCTATGACACAGAGCAGAGGAGGGGTGCCAGACAGGAAACACACACTGTTAAGTGCTTCCACGTGTCAAGCTCTGAGCCAAGTTGTTGTCAAACTGTGTCAACGGCCCACCCCTTCCACACCTGGGGGTTGGGCAGAAGGACTCATCCCTACTTTTGAAACAAGAAAGGCAGGAGAGGTTGGCCTCCACAGTTCAGTGCCCTCTGGCTGCCTCTCTTGGGCTCTAACCCCAGCCAGAGAAAGAGTCAGCGGGCAGAGGCCTGCTCCAGACATAGCCTGTCCTCCCTCCCAAGGGCCCAGGCTAAAAAAGCCTGGGGTGGGTGGAGCCACCACCCAGCAGGCAGCCCTTTCCTCACACCCTCACACAAGCGTGGGCTGGGAGGAAATGGCGGAGTTGCCATTCCCTTGTGCTCTGAGGCTGCCCATCTGTTTCCTGGGATAGGACTCCCCACCCCCACCCTCCTACCCGGAAACTCACTTGCTCTAGGGCTATGGGAAAAGGAACTATGAGTTCCTCTCTCCCCAGGGGGTGGTAACCCTGTCAGAACCCCTTTCTTTCCAGGCCTCCTGCCCTCCAGGCTCTAGCTATTCAGCTGCTACCAACAGCCCTGAGCTCATGAAGTAGACAGCAGCCGTAAGATTCTCCCTTTCCCTGACTGTGGCATGGTTGGCATCTTCTTCACTTACTTCAGCCTAGGAGGGGAGGGGCTTACAAAGAGGAGGTAACATTCTGGGTAGAAGTTAGTAGAAAGTAAAGAAACAAGTCTTTCCAGTCTCCCGCTGGAAGGCCCAACAACATCCGTGTGAAAGGAGTGCCCTCTGCTGGACATGAAGAAAACAGCCACTGGGTGGCCCCGCCTCAGGGGCTATGCTAACACAAGGAAAACAATCTGTCTTAATGTCTGCCCCACAAAACTAGAGTTGGATTAACATAGGCTGTGTCCAGTGCAGCCTCTGGTTCTATGTCAAATGAGTTTAAAAAGAGAATAAAACGACCTAGGTTGGGACAGGCAGGGAAGGTGTATTGAAAGGTGAAATGGGCAGTTACAGGCAGGGGACAACCCAAAGCAATGGGCATTAGGAGGAACACAGGAGCAGCAGGAGGCTACACAGCCCACAGAGGACTCTGGAGAAGTGAGGTATCTACCCGCTAGAGCTGACAATATTCCAGTCTTTGAATTTCTGCCCCTGAATCCTAACATATAAAACTAGTCAAAGTGGACGTGGCCTGGCCAAGAGGGAGAAAATCACCCATTCTGCTGCACTACGGTGGCTTCTGGAATATCTCTGAGCACCAGAGGGAACCAGGTTCAAAACAACAAGTTTGGGCAATGAATGGCCCCTGAGGCTTTCAGTGCATTTGGCAGGACAAGCAACATAGCTAACAAGGATGGAGAGCAGAGCCTGGGAGCTCAGGGAAGAATGAAAATGGAGTGCTGAAACCCTTAGCCCTTCTCCAGACCACTTAACTACCACAGGGTTTCGTGGATCCAAACTTTCCATCCACAGTGCCCGTCCCCTGTCTTCCTCACACTGTTCTGCCCGCACTATTTCCTTCTTACACACCACGCTTAAGGAAAAGAACAGGTCAAGCACTGCAGAAGTAGGCTGGCCCAGGGGCACTGACTCCCTAGTGCCCGAAGCCACTAGGCTTGCCTTGAAAGGTACTCACCCCAGGAATGTCCAAAAGCTTTGACACCAGAAGAGGCAGCTTCAGGGCAGCGACGCTTCCAGTGACACCCACAAGAACATGGAATTTTCTCTCCGTTGAGGGTATGGCAGCTGGGCATGGGGGCCGTGGTTCCATGTGGGGCGTGGAGGTTTTCTGGGAGTGTAGAAAGCGTGGGTTTAGAATCTAAAACAGAATAAAGGGCACCCTCTTCACTCGCATACAAGCAGTCTGTGGAATGCCCTAGACCATCTAGATGCTGGGGTTGCTGTGGCTTTCAACAGTCCCAGCTTCTGGGAGAAGACACTGTGATGATCAAGTCAGGCCTCTTCCCCACATGCTGCTGTAAGCGTACCTGTGCCATGGCTGCCCAATGACTGTCCCAGAGATATGTTACATAAAGATGTCATTCAGGCCGAGTCCTGAAGGGTGAGCACTTTTCCAGACAGGAGGAAGTTATTTCAAAAGGAATAACCCTGCCAAGTGAAGAGGTCTGAAGGAGAATGGCGGACCTGGGGAACAAGACATAGGTTGAGTGAGAAGCTGAAGACCCGTGAGAGTGTTAGAAGAGCCAGTCAGGCTGCATGATCAGATCTGCATCAGCCATGGTCACTGAGGGTTGACCTGTGGGCAGAGAACCGTGGAGGACAGCTGCCTTTAGAGACTCTGGGGATGAGTCTGAGATGACCCTTTTCTAGAATGAACCTATCCAATGATTTCTTACTCAGTTTACACATCGGTTCCCTTGGCCTCTTCCCCTACCAGAGACTTCCCTAAAAATCACCAACCACCTCTCCCCTCACTTTCACAGTCCTGAATATCTGCTAAATGAATAAATTGCATACATACTCCTGTAAGGCAGGAGGCCTGGGTTTTGTCCAAGGTAGTACTCCTGACCTGCTGTATGACCTTGGGTCAGAGTCATTCCCTCCCCAAAACTCTTTGCTCATGTGAAAAACACAGGGATAGAGGGGCTGATTCTGAAACTTTCTCCAGTACAACCTGAGTCAATGCAAAAGACAGCAGTGAGTGGCCCTTTCTACAAGACAGACAATCCTAGAAGACATACTCCAAAAGGTCAAGACAGCCATAGAAGGAGAACCCAGTAACCCCGGCTCCCTCTATGCCTGAGTACCCACAGGAGCCTGTTTGGCACTTGCCTGTAACATTTAGACATAATTCATAAGAGCTGAGGGGACAATGGCTACCCCTCTCAAAGGTCTCAAGCACAGACTGGTTCCCTGGGCACGATTCCCACCCCTAAAGTTCAATTTACCAGCATTCTTTAAAGATTTACTTTACTTATATATTGACTGTTTATGCATATGTGTTTTGACTGCATGTATGCTGTGTACAGTGCCCACAGAGGCCAGAAAAGGATGTCAGTTCCTCTGGAACTAGAATTACAGATAGTTGTGAGCTGCCATGTGGCTCTAGGGAATGGAACCCAGGTCCTCTGCAAGAGAAGTATGTGTTCTCTTAATGACCGAGACTTCTCTCTACCCCCACCCCCAGCCACCAACACTTTAAATCTTTTCTGTAATTTGGAGCCTCAACTAGGACCAGGCTTGTTACAGAAATGAGTCCACCAGAAAGTTAACAACTGACAAAGTCCACGGGACCTACTAGCCAGCTTCCCAGAGCACATCACTAGTAGGTGAGAGACACGTTTGAGGTTTTGTTGTCTAATTATTTTTAACTATGTGTATGCATGTGACTATGTGTACTTGAGAGCAGATGCTGAGGCCAAAGGCATCCCATCACCTTGGAGTTGGAGTTTGGGGCAGTTGTGAGCTGTCCGGTCCAGGTGTGCACACGGGTGATAGGAATGAACTGGGGTCCTCTACAAGAGCAGCACGTGCTCTTTGCCACTGAGCCACCTCTCCAGCTCCCTGAGAAGCACATGCTTGACTCTCCAGCAAACTTACCTGTCAGTCCTCAAACCTTGGCCCTCTCCTACTTCAGTCAAATGGTGAAAAACAAGGAGAGTCCTGCAAAACAGAAGCACAGCTTCATCTCCGCAGTCCCTGAACCTCAAGATAAAATTCCCAAGAGTCGTGTTACAGAAAGCTGTCAATCAAACTGGAGGCAGGACTCTGCGCTGCTCATTCCAACCCAAGATACACTGCTTCATCTGCTAACCAAGCTTTGCTCAGGAGCAAAGCCATTCATCTGGGGGGTTGGGGGAGAGGGAGAGAGACTGATTTATAGTTGTAGAATAGAAACTAGATTATTTAACCAATATTTGGAAGCGAAGTCAAATATGCCCAACCTGAGAGTCCCAGAGGAAGTGACAGCTGGCCAGAGTTTGCTCTCCAAGGTCAAATTCTACGCCAATTAAGTCTCTTCCTCCACCTAGATCCTATTACAGACTTTTGAAATTTTTATTCATTGATAGTGAGGGTGACTATAGGCAGCACCTCACTTCCCTGGCTCCTGCCACTCACAGGAACTGTGAGCAGCAGAGCAGAGTGGACAAGCAGGCAGCAGGTCATGATTGAAAAGCCATGACTTATCCAGAGCTCAGGGCACCCAGCCGTGTAGAAGTGCCGCCGCCAGAAAACTGCACTTTCTTTGTCCTTCAGAAAGATAGGAGGATCTTTTGCTTCCATAATAAACATAACCTCCAAACCACAGCAAGAAGAGAGCTCTTTTTACACTTTAAAATGGCTCACATTTGTGTTTCTTGCTAGCTGGTGGATGCTGCACCTCCTGACGCTCTGGTGTCTGCAGCACAGGTTTTCCAGCACAATTCTTGTGGCTCTGGAGGGAAGCCAGACAGCTAGCTCTCCATCCTAAACACGGACCTCACTGGAGGGCAGTCAGACAGCTAGCTCTCCATCCTAAACACGGACCTCACTGGAGAGCAGTCAGGACAGCTAGCTCTCCGCCCTAAACACGGACCTCACTGGAGGGCAGTCAGGACAGCTAGCTCTCCATCCTAAACACGGACCTCACTGGAGGGCAGTCAGACAGCTAGCTCTCCGCCCTAAACACGGACCTCACTGGAGGGCAGTCAGGACAGCTAGCTCTCCGCCCTAAACACGGACCTCACTGGAGAGCAGTCAGGACAGCTAGCTCTCCGCCCTAAACACGGACCTCACTGGAGAGCAGTCAGGACAGCTAACTCTCCATCCTAAACACGGACCTCACTGGAGGGCAGTCAGACAGCTAGCTCTCCGCCCTAAACACGGACCTCACTGGAGAGCAGTCAGGACAGCTAACTCTCCATCCTAAACACGGACCTCACTGGAGGGCAGTCAGACAGCTAGCTCTCCGCCCTAAACACGGACCTCACTGGAGAGCAGTCAGGACAGCTAGCTCTCCGCCCTAAACACGGACCTCACTGGAGAGCAGTCAGGACAGCTAGCTCTCCATCCTAAACACGGACCTCACTGGAGAGCAGTCAGGACAGCTAGCTCTCCATCCTAAACACGGACCTCACTGGAGAGCAGTCAGGACAGCTAGCTCTCCATCCTAAACACGGACCTCACTGGAGAGCAGTCAGGACAGCTAGCTCTCCATCCTAAACACGGACCTCACTGGAGAGCAGTCAGACAGCTAGCTCTCCATCCTAAACACGGACCTCACTGGAGGGCAGTCAGACAGCTAGCTCTCCATCCTAAACACGGACCTCACTGGTTTGAACTGACGAGTCAGTACATGTCTGTGTTCCCTGACCTCTACATCATGCTTGTCCAGACATGTATAGGAGCTGAACAGTGTAATATCTAATTCTCTCCCACCACTACTAACTTCCTGAGAAAAGACTCAAAGACAAGCTTGTTTTATCATATGGTTCAGCGTTCCCTTTAGACCTCCAGAGCCAAACTTGAGTTTCTCTTGGCTATCCTTGAACTCAGGGTTAATTTTTCTTTCAACTCCTCACAGACTGAAGTGCAGGTACAGGGAGATGCCTATATTTCCAATGTGCTGTCTACAGCTTATTGCTAGACCAGTCTTTACTTTAAGCAGCATATGCAGAAAACACGTTTTTCCCATTCTTACTTGACCTGTATTATAACCACAGAACTTAAACTTACTCCTATGTGTATTTAATAAAAAGTGGGGTGTGATGGCACATGCCTTTAACCCCAGCACTTGTGAACAAGCAGGCAGATTTCCATGAATTCAAGATCAGTGTGGTCTACATAGTGAGTTGTGGGCTAGCTGGGGATACACAGAGAGACCCTGTCTTGAAGGGGGGAAAAGAGGAAAAAGAGAATTTAAGACAGTGAAAACACACACACACACACACACACACACACACACACACACACGAGAGAGAGAGAGAGACAGACAGACAGACAGAGACAGAGACAGAGAGAGAAAGGGCCTCAGCGTATGACATGTAAATCTCTCTGTTTAATCAAGGTCAAAGTTTAACTAAAGTTTCAGTTTCATGGATATCTGCCAGTAACAAAATGGGCTATGTAGCCAGGAAAATGTAACCACCCTACACCAAAACCCATACCGCCCAGCACCTAAACAAACCCCTTTCAAGGTGTCAGGAAAAGCAAGGAGTGCTCGTTCATTCAAAAGGCTTGGCATTCTAAGGGACTTCCCTCAGCCCCAAGCAGGCATGTTCGGCTTTAAAGCTCCTGCAGTTCATTTGGGTACCTCCGGAGGGAAAACGTCGGAGCAAACCCCCCAGCTCCCAAGCACCCACCACTTCCTGAGGCTCTCTCCTGCCCATTAGCTAGTTCTGGCTCCCAATATTTGATCAGGAAATTTTGTTCTGACAAAAAACTGCCCTCACTCTAACTTTTAAATGCCGCTCGGCAAGTTTGGGGATTCAACTAAACACTCCCAGGGTTTTCTTTCTCTAGTTTATTAGTTTAAAATAGTTTGAGGAAAGTTGGTTCAGTAAGGTAGCTTGCAGCCAAGCCTGGGACCCTGAATTCGAGTGACAGGACTTACATAGAGGAACTGAATCCCACAAGTTGTATGATCTCCACACGCAGGTCGTGACAGCACCCCATCCAAAACAAATGTGATTTTAAAAAAAAGTTTTCACCAGCTTATGCTGCAGTTTTTCAAAGGTAAAGCGTCAAGTGTGGGTGTCCTGATTGCGTCGCCTTTAAGTAAATTCAACAACTCTTTCAAGGATAGAGCATGTCAGCGGGCTCAGGTGCCGATGCTATCCCCAACCCTGAGCACGAGGGCACACCCGTGACCCCACATCGCACACATAATAACATATCGACCCTCACTCCGACCCACAGCCAGAAGAGCTTCTCCCCACATAACGCCGAACCCCGGGACATGGCTTTCCAGCCCCTTGCACCGCTCACCCGCGCCAGCTGCCCCAAGTATCGCGGTATCTAGGCGCCCTTTCCCTCCAAGTCTAAAGGACACGCGAGAAAGCTACGTGATCGCATAGCCTTCTGGGAGTCGTAGTCTACTCTGCCTTCTGGGAGTTGTAGTCACTGGAGCTCGCGCCAGCACCGACATAATTGTGTGATTCACCAACTACCCCGCGCACCCTGTTCAGAACTTAATTCTATTTACCACGCCTGTTCTAAAAGGCAGTTCGGCTCTTGAGACAAACAGGAATGCAGAAAATTCGAGGCTAAGAATGAGGAAGCTGCAGGATCTAAGCCACAACTCTAAGCAGGAAAGCCATGTCATTGAAGTGATCACTTGGAGAATTTTTTTAAAGCCCTGGCTGGTCTGGAACTCAGAAATCTGCCTGCCTCTGCCATAATGTAATTAAAGGAGTGTGCTAGGGCACCCATGGCTACTTGAGAGGTATCTCGAGGAGTGACCAGCACAGAGGATCTATCTGGACAGCACAGCATTCCTAGTAGGCACACTTTTGGCAAAGACTCGGCACATTGGAATAGTTGTCGTCACCCTGAAGCAATCACAGGTCTCAAGAACCTGTGTGCATTGAGGCCGCTGAATTAACTTCAGGTGACCCACCATGGGAGCTGAGGAAAGGCCTGTGTTCCGATCCTACCGTGGCCGGCAGTAAACCATCAGGACCCTTCACTCGCCGTTACAGACCACTTTATTTCTTCTTCTTAACTGGTAGCTGTGGCATTTACTTCATGGCCCTACTCAAGGCTGCTTTAGGGAAAGGATCACAGAGAAGCATATGGTTTTGGGCATCACAGAATTCCAGGCCACAGATCCACTCAACCCAGCGCTACGCCCCTGCCTCACATCCCACACCAAGGCTTCTTCATTAGGCCCCACATGAAGACAAGAAACACAGCAGAACAGGCAGGGTCAAATGATCCCTTTTATTATGGTTCATCCAGTTACCACAGATAGACACATTGGCTCAGGCAGGTCAACTGCCAGCTAGGGAAGAGTTTGTGTCTCTCAGAAACAAGGGGCAGTGGGCACCAGGAGAATGCAAAAGCAGGTCACTGGCTGGCAGCTGTCAGGAGGATCCCCAGAACCAACTGGGCCCTCCTCCCAAACCCCAAACTAAGCCATCTGTGCCCAGCCCCCTTTCTCATCCTGGTTCCCTCCTCGTGAAAGTGCATAGTTGCCTGGAGATGCAGCATTCCAGGGCCAGACACTGGTAACAGGCTTTCCCAAGGGCAGCGCCAGGCACGGCCAATAGGTCTGAGCCAGGAAAGAGGAAAGGGTAGGTAGGGCAGGAAACTGGAGGTAACATCCAACAGCTCGTGGATGCTGGGCTGGCAGCTGGATCATAGCCCTCCTGGAACTTCCAGAGGACCAAGAGAAAGGGGAAAAAGAAGTCTGGGGTCAGGAGGAGGGTAAACAAGGGAGGGCATAGCCCTGGGGTCTCTTTAGGGTACCAAGGCATGTGGCAACTGCTCTCCACAGGGAAAACAGTGGGGGAGAGAATCAGCTAAGCCTAAGGGGTCATTAGGAAGGGAACTTTCCAGAGATTCTTGGCTTCTCTTACAAGGAAGAAGCTAAAAATCGAAGCTCAAGGTGACCTGGAACCAGGTAGGTCCCAAGATAAACCAGCCTAGAATGGCCGGGTGGGGTCTGGCTCTCCAGTCTATCTAGCCCAGGTGAGTTTCTGTTGGAAGGAGGTGAGAAACAGGTAACTGCTCCTTGTCGAGGCCTACCCACCTCAGGCCTCACACACAACCAGATCCTCGACCAGGCAATGTCCACCCACTGCTTGGAAGAGACAGTCCTGGGGACTGAGATCAGTCATCAAGGAGAGGAGGGTTCTAACAGAGCTAAGAAAAGGCCAGGAACCAAGTCCTGTAGTTAGTTCTCAAGAGAATGGAAGAGGAGGGAGGGGCCAAGCCCACAAAACTAAAAACTAAAGGCAGAATCCTCCTTCCCTCCCTGTCAAACAGGAACCCTGCTCAGAACATTGTGCTTGGAGCTTCAACTGGGCCTGGGAGCATCCACACAGAAATCTGTCTTGTAGCCAAGGGCAAGTGGGACTGGAGAGGTAAGCTACCCTCTCAATGGGCTTCTCTTTGACTTCTCTTTTGATCCCTGGCTTCAGACCTGGCCCTCTAAGCTCTGTCCTTTCTGCCATACTCAAACAGAGCAGCTACTCCTCCCAGGATTCCAATGGTTACTCTGAGACACCTAGAAGCCCTTGTGGGCTGGGGCCAGCCACACCTCCCCCAGGGGCCAATAATAAGTTCCATGCCCCCTGTTCCAGCAGTGGCCATACAGCTAACAAGTCACAACCCAGCTCCACAGGAAATGCAGAGTGGCTAAAGGAGGATCAGGGGAGAAAGGGGAGGGAAGTCAGAGAGGGAAAAGAGGCAGCCTGCCTCTTCTAGCCAGGCTTTCAGAACCAAGGAGGAAGGCCTGCATTTCCATTCCCTGGGAGTCAAGTACCAAACAGGCTCTCCATCTCCAAGCGGTGTGCCCCTTCCACATCAGGCCTGGCTCATCTCCCATGTCAGCTTCCCTGAACTGGGGAGCAGATCAGAATTGGGGATCTGGGCAGTCTTGGAAGCAGACATAACTGGGACACTCAGCCTTAGGAAGACAAAGAAAAGTTACATGGGGAGGAGAAAGATCCTGGAAGAGTCAGCTAGGGAGGAGAGAACAAAGAGTCTAACAGAGAGGCAGAAACAAGAGGAGAAAAAGGTTGAGGGGAGCAAGGAAACATCCTCTCCATCCCACGCTCTAGAACCTACTTATCACCATGAATGCAAAATACTGTTGCTTCCCAATGGGACCAAAGGGGGATAGCTTCAGCTCATAACCCTGCACAGGGTGCCAGGCTCTCTGCTAGGCCTCCCCCTGCCCCACAAGGAGTCCCTGGGTCAGGGTCAGAGGGGGCAACCTGGTGGACAGGGTGGAGGGGAGCTGGTTTAGTTCTAAACATACATCTAGCACCACAACAAGAGATCTCCACTGCACATTATTTCACAAGGGGACGTGAACTCAGCTACCAATGCACAGGACCACTCCTTGTGCAGCCCACAGCTCTCGGAGTGTCAAGAGCAGGACCCAAAAGGTGGGGGCAGGGGATAGACATATACATATATACACACACACACACACACACACATATATATATATATAACTCTGATTCTTTGTACAAAGTTGGGGAGGAGGAAAGGGAAGGGGGAACCCTGCTTGGTCACCACACAGACGATGTGGCTTGAGCCCCCTGTCCCACTGGCCCCCAGCCCTGCCTCCTGGTAGGCTTGGCTGGCTCACATCTCATTAGAGTATGTGTAGTTGGGGGTGGCAGAGTACTGAGTCTGCGGCTGGTTCATGGCACCCTGTGCAGCCCCCATGGCTGCATTCTGGGCTGCCTGCTGCACATGTGGGTTCTTCCACGCTCCAGTGGTCCATTCCTCTTGAGCTTTGCTGAAGCTGCCCCCACTGCCCCGGTAGAACTTGTGAACCTGTAGGAACAAAAACATAAGGAAGGGTTAGTCAAAGAGGAAAGCAAACACGGTGTTACTGCATGCCTGCAATCCCCGAAGAGGCAGGAGAATCATGATTCATGAGGCTGTCTAAAAAACCAAAAACAAAAAGCCAGGACAGTGGCACACGCCTGTAACCCAAGCAAGTCCTTGGGAGACAGTGTGGGATGATCAGGAGTCCATGGTTTTCTTCAATACATCTTGAGTTTGGGGCCAGCCTGGATTTCATAAGTCCCTATCTCAAAAAACAAATAAATAATTAAAGCCGAGGGTGGTGGCACAAACCTTTAATCCCAACGCCTAGGAGGAAGAGACAGGCAGATCTCTGAGTCTGAGACCATCCTGATCTACAAAGTAAGTTCCAGGTCAGCCAGGGCTACAAAGAAATCCTGTCTTAAAAAGTCAAAAAGAAATAATTTTTTAAATGGAGTAGGCAGCCATTCAGGAAACAGATGGGATCCTTCTGTGAAAAAAATCAGTCCCCAGAGTATAAGTAAGTCAAAAGACTTCTGGGCCCTCCTTTTAAAAAAAAGTGTGTGTGTGTGTGTGTGTGTGTGTGTGTGTGTGTGTGTGTGTGTGTGTGTGTGTGTGTTCATGTGACTTCAGGTGTCAGAGGATAAGAGGTGTCAGCTCTTGCCTTCCACCTAGCTTGAGACAAGGTTTCTTGTGGTCCTGCCACTGTATGCATCAGGCTAGCTGGCCCACAAGGTCTCCTGTCTCCATTTCCCACCTTGCCATAGGAGCACTGGGATTACAGATGCTTATAGTGCCTAGTTTACATGGGTTCCTGGTATTCACACTCAGATCCTCACACTGATACAGCAAGCGTGTTTTTACCCAGTGAGGTATCTCCCCAGAACCCCACTTGTGCGTGTTGTATGCAAAGCAGGAAGGGGTGCACTTGCCTGTGCATGACATGTAGAGGTCAGAGGTCAACTTCAGCTACCTTCTTCCACTGTTCTCCACCTCATGTTTGGAGGATGCCCCTCTCTCCAAATCTGACGCTTGCCACTTCAGCTAGACTGGCTGGCTGGCCTCTAGGCCCGGAATCTGCTATTTCTGCTCCCAGCTCTAGGGTTGCAGCCATCTGCCACCATGTCAGGCTGTGGGTTCTGGGGAATCTAAACTCGGGTCCTCTTGCTTACGCTGCCAGCACTTTACCCACCAGATCCCCAACCTCCTGGATCCTCTTTTTTCTTTTCTTTCTTTTTTTGTTTTGTTTTGTTGGTATTTTGTTTTTGTTTTTTGTTCTTTCAAGACAGGGATTTTCTGTGTAACAGCTCTGGCTGTCCTGGAACTCGCTTTATAGACCAGACTGGCCTCGAAGTCAAGGAGATCCTCCAGCCTCTGTCGCCGCCACCACCCAGTACCTGAATCCTCTTATAACTTGAATGAAGGGTAGTTTCAAATCACAGAACCCTCCCAAAGCCACCCCCTCACCCTGGAGGTTTTTACACATACCATGCTAAGGGCGATGAAGGAAAAGACGGCCACAACTGTAAACATGACCGTGGGAATGAGCATCACCACCGCTGAGCCAATGTTTGTGCTGAAGAAGGAGATGGTGGCGATCCAGCCACTGTAGGAAGAAGCCAGTTGTGGAACTATGTATGTAGGGAAAGGGGACCCAGGAACCACCCCCTTTGATGTCGCATCACCACAGGGAGGACTACACCACTAGCCACAGAGGGACCATATTTCTGATACCCTTTAGCCTGTGCTCCCAGAGATCATGAGCCAGAAGGCTTTTCCTCCCCAACTTTCACACAAAGTCTGGCTCTCCTTGGCCACCCACACACCCCTTCCCAGTCCTCCTTCCCCTCTAAACCTATGGTGAACACTACTCTACTACCCCCAAACCCCATATTCTACCCATAACAAGCCACTTGGTGTCTGTAAAAGCAAATCATCTTAGTACAAAGGTAAGCAAACAACCCAAATGTTACTCCTCCTAGCCCCAGATCATCCCTTTGCCTCTTACCAGACACCCCAGCCTGGAATTCCCACAGCCTGGATGATGCTGATGACCAGCTGGGCCATGAAGGTGAAGAAGAAGGCCATGAAGCTGAAGGAGCTGTCTGTCCTGTGGCAGAGAAGATGGAATGTCAGCTGGGCAGGAGCACTGGTCTTCCCTGAACTTATGAACCCAAAGCTCCTTGGGGCATAAATAACAAGGGTATTTAAAGGCTTTAACTGAGAGTCCAAATAGGATGGCCCTCATCCATAGATCTTTTAGGGTTTTGGGGAGTTATGCCTGTGTATAAGAAAGGTATGTTCTCATGAAAGGACCACCCATGACACATGGATCAATGATCCTATTGGCATAGAGACAGACGGTTCCACTGTGGGAAAAATAAACAGCTCCATCATCAAGGGACTGAAACAGGGACGGATGGCTCTATAGACATAGAAAATCTCAGTTGTACTAATATAGATACGTTATTGGCACCACAACAGTAGCTAATTGGCACATAATGGTTAGTCCTATTGACAAAGAGATTTAAGGCTCCACTGGAACTGAAGTGTATATTCTGCTGGCATCAAGACAGCCTTGTTGCTATGTGTAGCCTTAATGGTACAAAGATTGAAAATCCCAGTTGACACTAGGTAGACACTCACTGGCACCAAGACAGTTAGCCCCATCAATACATAGATAGGTATTCCCTTTGGCACAGAATTGGATGACATCATTGGACATGAATAGTGTCAGTGGTTCTTGGATGGCTGGTTCCAGTGACACATGAATAAAGGGTCTTCTTGGTACCAAATCAGTCATTCCCCACTGGTACATGGATAGGCAGCTCCACCAAGACAGCCCCATGGGCAAAGTTTGACAAGCACGATAGACTGGAAGGAAGGAAATAAGAAGGGTCCCACTCCCAACCCTTCCAACCCAGCCTGGAATTCCCAGGAAGCCCACGCCCCACCTGACAGTCCAGTCAAAGGTGAACAAGGAAAACAGCAGGCAGAGTTTGGAAGGCAGCAGACAGAGGGAAGTAGGGGTAGCAGCTGGGGTCAGCACCAACCACTTACTTGAAGGCCTTGTAAATGGGCCGAAACCAGCAGACGTAGGAGCAAGGTGTGAAGAGGATGAGCCAGAGAAAGGCCAGGCCAAAGTTGGTGGCTCCCCCGCCTCCGATGAGCCACGCGAGACAGCCCACCAGGTTCACGGCCAGCGTGACGCTGTTCACTGCAGACCCAGGAGCACAGGCACGCACAGAGATAGACACCAGATACACAGAGACCAAAGTCCATACAGAGATGTGAGTATCCAGACATGGAGACACACACCCAGGATTCCATAAAGGCTCACAACCAAATACACAGCAACAACACAAACAAGCAGCAAGACATAGACATACACACACAGGTGCAAACACACAAAGATGACCCACAAGCCATACCAATGAACACACAAAGACACGTGCGCGCGCGCGTGCACACACACACACACACACACACACACACACAGAGGGAGTACAGACTGTAAGAAAGAAAGCTGGGAGCTTGGGTTCACCCTTCCCCAAATCCACCCCTAGGAATCTGAGAAATCCCAACAGCCAAGAGTCTCTAGAGCAAGAACCCAGAGTTTCTGCCCAGAAAGCCCCTGGAAGGATCTCAAAGCCTCAGGGTCCTGTCCTTGTAAGAAAGGCTTCCAGGTGGGGGTGGAGGTGGCTCAGTATTAGAATTGAGCTTAGCATGCAAAAGGCTGGGATTCATTGCCAAGACTAGAACTCAGTCCTTGGTCTTCCCAGGCCCACAGCAATCACCAATCACCAGCCCCTAGGCAAGAGATCCATTATATATTTTCTTACGAAGTAGGGACATGAAAGCAGGGAAGAAAAAGAAATTCTGGAAGCTTCTCTTCAAACCACTGGACCATGTGCCTGGTGCATCAAAGGGGGCAGACAGCGGAGGCTGGGAGTGCAGTCCTCATTTAGTCCTTTTTCAGACTATCACTGCTCTTCCTCCTCTAAGGTACCTTCCTCACCTGTCTCACTCTCCTCTGACCTGTGTGTCCTGTGCAGTCCCCAAATATAATTCCAGTCAAGCATCCAGACTAGATATCCCTCGGCGGTGAGACCCAGACCCCTCTCCCTCTTCTCCATCCCCCTAGAAGATCACAGGACTCATGAGATCACCGAGTCACAGCCAGCAGAGGTCTAAGGACTCTTCATTTTACAGATTAAAGACAGACATTGGCACTAACATACACCTAGATCTTATGACCCCAGGCATCTCCCTTCCTTGAACATCAAGCTGAGTCCCCCAAAGACCTGCTGAGTTAACCAAGGAAGGTGGGCTCAATCTTGGCTTCAAGCAGTTTAGATTCTACACTATCTCCTCAATCTCAAACCTTAGATACATTGTTTCCGGACCAAAGAACCTGACAGTCACCTAGTAAGGACTTAAGGAGGTATTTATAGCCCTTAAATCCAGCTTCTGGGCCAGATCTTCTCATAAGGCGGAGTTCCAGGAGCCTAGGGTCAGGCAGAATGCTCCCCTAAGCTGGACCTGGCCTGATAACTATGTCACCTGTGCAGCTACACCCATCTCAGCCCTCCCCCTCCCCCATAACAAACATGGATACTTCTTGTATATTTCAGGTGTTTCCTTCCATTCCAGTTCATTGCTTCAAAGTTTCCTAGAGCTGTTGTTCTTTCTGAGTGTTCTTTAAAAATGTGTTTGTGCCCCCCTCTGTCCCTGTCCCTGTCTCTGTCTCTGTCTCTCTGTCTCTGTCTCTGTCTCTCTCTCTCCCTCTCTTGTGTGTGTGGGGTATGATGTGTCTCTGTCTGAGCCTGTGTGTGTCTGTATGTGTGGTGTATGTGGTATGTATGATGTGTGTATAGTGTGTGGAGTGTGTATATGGTGTGTATCTGTGTATGTATATGGTGTGTGTGAGTGGTGTGTGTGGTGAATCTGTGTCTATGTTTGCCACAGTGCACAAAGACAACATAGTGCACAGAGGACAACCTCCAAGAGCCATTCTCTCCATCTACCCTACTAGTTTCTGCACTTTGTACTCCACACTCAATCAGGCCTTCCTAGCTCCCAGAGGCTTGTCTCCTGTCTGGGCCTCCCATCTCACCCTGTACTGGGACTACAGGTATATCCCACCACATCCAACTTCTTACACGGGTTCCAGGTATTGAACTCAGGTAATCAGGCTTGGGGCTAGCGAGTCCACTCCACATTCATGCACTGAGACACCACACTAGCCCAAAACAGTGTTCTTTCCTTCCTTCTTGACACAGCTGAGTGCAGGTCTGAGTCAGGGCAGTGTCACCTCTAACAGATGTCCTGCAGTCACCCCACTCCGCTCCACGCCTAAGCAGCGTCTTCTGACTACCCTGAGCCAAGTCAAGCCCGCACACCTCCTGATGGCACCACTCCACTAACCTGCCACAGAGCACCAGAAACAGGCCCCTCTGAATTCTCATCTTTAAACCCTTAGAACTCTGGGCCCCTAGACCATACAGCTACCTGGAACTGCAGCTCTCAGTGAGCCATGCCCTCTTTTAACAACAGAGAACCCACTGTTGGGGAACTAGAACAGACAAACTGGACTCCATGTCTCCTAACTCCCAGCTGAATGCTCTTCTCTTTGAGCAAAACATCAAGAAACATGAGGCTTTAAACGAAGGATTCTTCTCTAAATCCAGAGTCTTGGCAGTCACCACGGGCTCCCTGGAAAAGTACTCCAGTGGGTCAGGGTAGAGAAGCAAAAAGACAAATAACACTGCAAAAAGAAACCCTGCTCGGAGGCTCTGTGAACGAGAGAGAGCAAGGAGGGGAAGAAGAGAGGCCTGTCTGAAAGAAACTGGGGCCCAGCTGTGGAACCCACCAGTGGCAGTGAGCTTGCCGAGGACCAGGGGACCAGCAGGGGAAAGATTTCCCAGGCGATGCAGATGCTACAGTTGAAAAGCAGGATGTGCAAGCACCCCCACCCCCAAGGCCAGCACCTCCCGCTCACCCCAAAGTACTCACACATCCAGAGGTAGTAGAGGCGCTTGGTCAAGCTGAGATGCTGAGGAGGGATGTCTGCCTCAAAGTCTTGGTAGAAACATGGCTTCAGTGGGATGAATTTGGGCAATGGTGGGAAGTTGTTCACTTTTTCTGTGGGCGAGATACACTGCAAGCATCACCTCGGATGTCTCTCCTGGCCTCCCTTCTTGGTCCTATAGGTTCTATATGTGACCCCACCCCCAAGCCAGGCTGCCTTTATCTCCTATATACTCCTGGCCCTATGCCCTGGCTGCTTTGCTATCCCCACCCAACTGTCTCTATTTCCTGAATCTCCAAGATTTGATCCCAAAGTGATCAAAGATGCTAAAACAGCATCTCTCAAAGAAACACAAAAATCACAAAAGCTGCCTTCAGGGTGAGGTGCTCTCCACAATAGAGAGCAAGTTCTATGGCATGGGTGAGGGTCTGCTGATGTAGGTCTTGGCCTCCACTCCACCATTAGTCATTCAATTCACTGGCCCTCTCCAGACCTCAGTTGCCCAGGAGTGGAATCTGGGCTACATGGTCCTTAAAGTTCCCTTCAGCTTTGGCACCGTGTACCTCTCGGCCTTTAGAAACGGGAGGAAAACGTCTGAGTACAGTGGTGACACCAGGGACATGGACAGGCCATCCATGTTGCTACTCTGTCAGCTCAACTCAGGTCCCCAGGCTCAAAATCTGACATAGGACTAGATGGTGCTATAAAGTCCTCAGGTACTCAAGCCACAATGGGGGTGGGGTGGGGTGAGAAACCAGGAGACAAGAGTGCATACAGAAAGAGCAAGACTTCTGACAAGGGCCAGCTACTTCATGCTTTTTTCCATGTCTACCCCGACGTGGCCCATTTCTCCTTACCCGCCATGATGGACCAGCCAGGCCAGCAGTCTGCTCACACTTCCTTGTTCTGAACTGGAAGGAAAGAAAAACTAGATGAGAATGAGGATCAGAACACTGTCTACTGCAGTTCCCCTTTACACTTGGGCTGTGCTTCACGCTTTCTAAGGCACGACAGACTCCTGTTCCCACTGTGGAATGAGCCCGAATGGAGCAGCTCTTCGCCTGGAGGAGTCAACACAGCATCATCCACACCCTTCTAGCTATTTCCACCATGCTAGCTAGTTTTGAATGTCAGCCTGCCACCCTCTATAGTCACCTGGGAAGACAGCGTCAATTGAGAAGTTGCCTAGATCAAGTTGGTCTACGGGCATGTCTGTGGGGGACTGTCTTGACTGTTAATTAATGTGGGAAGTCCCAGAACGTTGTTGGAGGCACCATTCCCAGGGCAGGTGATCCTGGACTATATAAGTGAAGAAAACTAGCTGAGTACAAACTAGTAAGCAAGAAGCATCTATGTGCTTCCTTCTCCCTGACTATGGATGGAATGTAACTGGCTGTTTAAGATCCTGCTTGACTTCCCCTCAGTGATGGACTATAACCTGGAACCATATGCATCACAAACTCTTCCCTCCCTTAAGTCACGTTTGGCCAGTGTGTTTTGTTTCATTGTTTTGTTTTGAGAAAAGGTCTGGTCTGGTGGAATCCCCTCTGTAGACTAGCCTGGTCTGCAACTCATAGAGATCCACCTGCCTCTGCCTCCTGGATACTGAGATTAGGGGTATGCACCACCAAACTCAGTTGAGCAGGGCATTTTAACAACAGAAATGAAACTAGAACCACCTTTTGCCTCAAGGTACAGTCTATCCACAGAAAACCCCACCCAGGGCTACTGAGATAACTCATCTGGGTAAAAGCTGCACACATCTGATAACTAGTTAGATCCCTGAGATCCACAATGGAAGAAGAGAACTGACTCCCAAAACTTGTCCTCTGACCACATGTAGCACGCACAATAATAAATAAGTAAACAAAAACAGAAAGAAAACTCACAGAAGATAGGAAAAGACATACCATTCTCTGACCCTCTTATGCTAAATTGGCCTTCCTCCTGCCATATGTTCACTTATTAGAACATCATTATCTGCCAGGAAAGACACTGAGCAAGGCAGATATGAACCATGTCCTGCACATGAAGCCGTCACAGGCCCTGCAGTCAGTCACACAAGGGAAACAATCCTGCCAGGCTGGTATACACTTGCAGCCCTGGCACTCTGGAGTTTGGTGCAGGATAACCACAGGCTCAAAGCCAGCCTGGGCCACGAGAGTGAGTCTGGGATCCCTAAGGCTATTGTGAGGCAAGTTACAAGGGACCTGGAGGAGGATGTGTGGAATAGAAGGAAGCCATCAGGCAGACTCCCAGCCACTTAGACCACCGGGCAAATGATAATGGCCCACAACCAGCAGGGTGTGTGAGAAGAGGTACAGGGCTCAGGAAGACCAGCTGTGTCTTGGGCACGGTGGGAAGACTGCCAAGCAGGACTGCGTGCCAGCATTTGGAGCACACAGGGTCAGAAATCCAGCAGAAGTCTCGCTGGCACACACATTAAGGAAGAGCACAGGAGAGAGTCAGCTTGGGATACAGGAAGAGCACAGGAGAGAGTCAGCTTGGGATACAGGAAGAGCACAGGAGAGAGTCAGCTTGGGATACAGGAAGAGCACAGGAGAAAGTCAGCTTGGGGTATAGGAAGAGCACAGGAGAAAGTCAGCTTGGGGTACAGGAAGAGCACAGGAGAGAGTCAGCTTGGGGTACAGGAAGAGCACAGGAGAAAGTCAGCTTGGGATACAGGAAGAGCACAGGAGAGAGTCAGCTTGGGATACAGGAAGAGCACAGGAGAAAGTCAGCTTGGGATACAGGATGAGATGGGAAGAGATAACGGGACCTTGGATAAAGCTCAGTGGTGGATCACATGATTAGAAAGGTACAAGGCTTGGGCAGGCAAGATGGCTCAGTGGGTAAAGTGCCTGAGACCAAGCCTGCTGACCAGAGTTCAGTCCCTAAGCCCCACACAGTAGAAGGAGAATCGACTCCCACAGTTCGTTCTTTAAACTTCCACAAGTACTCCATGAGGTTAGCCTGCCTATGTGCCTGCACACACACTAAATAAATGTAAGAATTTTAAAAGGGGGCTTGGGAGATGGCTCAGTGGTTAAGAGCACTGGTTTCTCTTGCAGAAAACCCAGGTTTGGTTCCCAGCACAGACATCACAGCTCAATACAGTGTGTAACTCCAGTTCCCAGGGATTCAATGTCCTCCTCTAGCCTCCATAAGCACCAGGCAGGCACACGGCACACAGTACCCATACATACATGCAGGCGAATCATCTAGACCCATAAACTACAACTAAATCTTTCTTTAAAATAAATGATGAATAGAATGTGCAAAGCCCTGATCTAATCATCAGCACCTAAAAAAAACAAAGTGAGTATTGGGTGGGGGAGGCAAGGTCCCTTTCTTCTTTCTTTAAATGTGTAGTATTTTATGTGTCTAAAAGTTTCACCTGAATGTAAGTCTGTGCACCATGTGCGTGCAGTGCCAGAAGAGGGCGCTGAATCCCCTAGGACTGGGGTTATAGATGGTTGTGAGCTGCCATGTAGACACTGGGAATTACACCCAGGTCCTCTGGAAGAACAGTCAGCACTAACACCACTGAGTCACTGCAAAGTTCTTTTGATGAAGTAGAAGGAATAACAGAATTCTTAAAAATCACCAATCTGGGGCTAGAAATATCACTTGGTGGCTTTCTGCGCAAACACGAGAGACCTGAATTTGAATTCCCGGTATCTAAATAAAAAGCTGGATGTGACTACGTGCACCTGAAACCCATTGCTGATGGCATCAGACATCAGGGGATCACTGGGGTTGCCAGTCCGCCTAGCTGAGAACAGTGACCTCCAGGAAGAGATCTTGTCTCTAGGGAATAAGGTGATAGAGTAGGACACATGACATTCTCCTCTGGCCTCAGCATGAACTCACATGAGCATGCATGTGAGCATGTGGGCATGCACACACACACACACACACACACACACACACACACACACACACAGGTAAGGATACACACCAATATATCACACATACTACACAGAAAGCTCCTCCACTCTGCAACCCCTTACACAACAAGGGGAACAGGCAGGGATTACTTGGCTACCAAAACCACTGTGTGAAGGTTGCTGTGGAAAAGCAACAGTGTGAGTGTCACATTTCAGACTGCTATTGAATCTTGAGAGAGAAAAGATATTTCTAAATGAATCTGGTAGATCAAATGATCAAACTTAGCAAGCAATAACAGAAGAAAAAAGCAATGTGTACACAGGACACATACTCTTCTGTGTAATATTATTGCCAAAAAAAAGTTTAATTTGAAAGTAAGTATAAGCCAAGCATGGCTGAGCATGCCTGTAGTGCCAGCAATAGAGACAGAAGCAGTAGGATCAGGAGTTCAAGGCCAACCTGAACTACCAAAGGTCCTGTCTCACAAGGGGGGAAAGAGGGGCAGTGGTTATTAGAAAAGAAAAACAATTGTTCACAAAAAGATAGCTCCCTTAAGGGTCTACTTACATGAGATACTGAGTCAAATTCACAAAAATAGAAAAAAAAATTAAAGGAGGTAATAACCAATGGAGGAAGAAAAACCTAGAAGGGGGAGTCTTGGGGGGACTCTGGTGCAAGACGGTGATATGAGCCATGAACTCAGTAGGTGGAAAGCAGCAGGCGCAGGCAGGCGTGGGCACTGGAATACCTCAGGAGAAGGCCACATGCTCCCCCGATACTGTAGGACAAGTTGCAATGAGAGGGAGGAGGCAAGAACAGAGCACGCAGTTAATGGGCAATTGCAACACAACCTAAGTGCTCTGTGACAGCACACACGGGAAGCTGGGGGAAACAACACCTCGCTGGTACCTGCCAGTGATGCCAACAAGGGCTCCACAGAGGAAGCAAGCTCAGATCTGAATATGCAAAGGTCAAACAGGCGTTAGCTGGGCAAAAGGAGTAAGGGAAACAGAAGAGGCCAAAAGAGCAACACGTCCCTATCCAAGGACTACAGAGGCAGACTGAGCAGAAAGCCTGACGTGGAAGGAGGAAAGGAAAGGCAAAAGGGTTGCAAGGGCTGGAGAGAGGGCTCAGTGGAGCACTTACTGTGTTGAAGAGGACCCAAGTTCCGTTCCCAGGCAGCTCACAAACATCTGGAACTCCAGCTTCAGGAGATCCAACATCTTATTCTGGTCATTCTGGTCTCCTTGGACACATGTACCCTCATGCACGCATCCATACACAGACACACACATACACATAATTAAAATATTATTAAAGATAGGGAGAGGTGAAAAATAAATGGGCTTATCCCTTCCTTGAAGGCCATGGGCAGGATCTGGTTTTGCTCTTAAAACCATGGGACACAATGAAGGATTCTGTCCTAATAACAACATCAAAAACTCCTCAGTCTACTTTGGGGGGTTAGGTGGGTTGGTTGGTTGGTTGGTTGGTTGGTTGGTTGGTTGGTTGGTTGGTTTGACACAGGGCCTCACACTGTATCCAAGACTGGCCCAGAACTATGTATCCTAGGATAACCTAAATCTCATGACAATCTTGCCTCAATCTCATGTGTGATGAGATAACAGACATTCACCAACAGGCCCAACTCGGACATTGTTTTATATATATGCCAAAAAACCTGTAATTTTCATCATAATAAATAAATAACGCTTTGAGGGCTGGGGAGATGACTCAGTGGACAAAGCATTAGCTGTACAAGCCTGCAGACCCAAGTTCAATTCCTGGACCCCTTACAGCCAGATGTGATGGCTCACACTTGTGATCCCCTTAGAGCAATTGGGGAATAGAGACGGAGGAATCTCTAGAAAGCTTGAAGCCCAGCTGGTCCAAAGTAGGCAGAGCAGAAAAGCAGGAGAGACCCTGTCTCAAAAACAAGGTGGATGCCAGGTATGGTGAGGCAGAGGCAGGCAGATCTCTGTGAGTTCGAGGCCAGCCTGGTCTACAGAGTGAATTCCAT